CAGGGGGAGCTGGTACTGGGGGAGCTGGGACCAGGGGGAAGCACCCTGGGGGGGCAGGGGGAGCTGGTACTGGGGGAGCTGGGACCAGGGGGTAGCACCCTGGGGGGGCAGGGGGAGCTGGTACCAGGGGGGAGCACCCCGGGGGGCACAGGCAGCTGGTACTGGAGCGCTGTTTTTCTGACTCTGTCCTTGCCTCCCTCCAGGTGATGGTTTAGCAGCCGCTGCACAAGGCAGCAGCACAGCAGAGCTCGCAAAGCTGGCTCCCTGCGCCATGGTCACGCACAGCAAGTTCCCCGCTGCTGGGATGAGCCGCCCGCTGGACACCAGCCTGCGCCTCAAGACCTTCAGCTCCAAGAGCGAGTACCAGCTGGTGGTGAACGCTGTGCGCAAGCTGCAGGAGAGTGGCTTCTACTGGAGCGCAGTAACAGGCGGCGAGGCCAACCTGCTGCTGAGCGCCGAGCCGGCTGGCACCTTCCTCATCAGAGACAGCTCCGACCAGCGGCACTTCTTCACCCTCAGTGTCAAGACGGAGTCGGGCACCAAGAACCTGCGCATCCAGTGCGAGGGCGGCAGCTTCTCTCTGCAGAGCGACCCCCGCAGCAGCCAGCCCGTGCCCCGCTTCGACTGCGTCCTCAAGCTGGTGCATCACTACATGCCTCCTTCCCCGTGTTCCCTCCCCGAGCAGCCCGGGGGGACCCCACACCCGAAACGTGCCTACTACATCTACTCTGGGGGCGAGAAAATCCCGCTGGTGCTCAGCCGCCCGCTCTCCTCCAACGTGTCCAGCCTGCAGCACCTCTGCCGCAAGACCGTCAATGGACACTTGGACTCCTACGAGAAGATGACTCAACTGCCAGGCCCCATCAAGGAGTTCCTGGACCAGTATGATGCCCCCCTCTAAGGAGTGCGGAGGAGGGAGCAGCACGTGGCACAAGCACAAAAGGGTAGGGGGCACAATGATCTACTGGAGCATGAACTTGCAGGACAAAAACAGACCCCCTTCCCCTTTGGAAAGGGAGTGGGGGGATGACCGTGAACTTAGGGGTGACCAATGGGCCCTGCCCAGCACAGAGACGTCTGCAGTTGTGTCTGCGTGTTGGGGTTTGGAGCCCCTCTCGGTAATGGCAGGAGGCTGACGTTACTTGACTAAGGATTAACATACTGAAGCTCCTGTACACAGCCTGCCTCCCCTTCTGCAGCCCAGGGAGAACTGTGTCTGTTTCTGGGGCGGTCCCACCAGATATGAGGGCAGCTGCTGGGAAGGAGCCGTGCTGAACCGTTTGCAAACAACACGTGCAAGGTGTGTACCTTGCAAACTGCTGTCGCTCAGCTGTGGCTCGGATCCTCTCCCCCATTTTCTGGCCACCAGGACCACACTGGAGCTGGTCTGGTAACAAAGCCGGCCTGAAGACCGTAGAAGGAAAGCACTGGAATCCAGCTAGTGCCTGAGAACTCTTCCTCAGTTTTAAGGGGAAAGTGTTTTTTTTTTTTTTACCTCTCACCGCCTCCTTGTGGGTGGAAGCTCCTTTCACACCAAGCCCCAGACTTGGAGGATGCTGCCTTTTTCCCTCACTACCATTATCCAGGGGACTAAGCCTTAAACTCCATCCTCGTCCCACGGGTTGGGTTACTGCACATTACAGGCAACATTTACAATGATGGTCCAGGCTATGAATCGTGAATCCCAGTCGGGAAAGGCGCCCGTCCCGATGGCACATCGGCACCAAGGAGTTTCATGTGAGCAGGACGAGCACCAACGGGATGAGTTGTTGTTAGACCGTTATTCCGAAGTGCTGCCCCATCCGGGCTTCTCCCAGAGCCTGCCCCAGACCCTGGACTCTCCGCTTCACAGAGGGCTCCAGAAGTTGGGATTCTCTACAGTCTCTGGTTGGATCTGGGGCTGCGGGTTTGCCTGGTCCCCAGCTGCACTGCTCCATGGTGGCAACCGTGGCACTGATCCCTACAGGAATGTAGCAACAACGGAGCACCCTGGAACTGGTCCCTTGGTACCCGCTGTCCCTGTCGAGGTGGGGAAGGGCAGTTGGGTTTTTCTGGTTTTTAGAGAAAGCACCATTTACAGCCCTGCCTGAATCACATCTTTTATAAAGATTCTGCCTTCACCTCCAGCCTTGAGGGCTGAGCTGAACATGCTTGAAAACTCAACATAAACCAAACTCAGAAGAAACTTTGCACATATTTATATTTATATTCAGAAAGGAAGCATTTCTGTAATTTATAATAAAGAGCACTATTTTTTAATGAAAACCCCACCTCTGTTTTTGTCTCGCGCCCCCCACCTCTGCCTGCCAGACCTTAGTGAAACACACACGGTAGACACAGCCTTCCACATGCAGCCACTGCCATCGCTTTAATGATAATGGGGTCACAAGTATCTGGTTTCAGACCATTTTTAATGCCAGGATCTAACAATTATTCATAGCTTATGTCAGGCGAGAGCGATTCTTGAGAGCGGTGGCATTGGACAGACCAGCCCGCAGTAGTACTGCGAGGTATTGTAAAGTACCTCGGAGCAGCTTAGATGCTGGTTTGCAAACAGGCTGCTGTGGTCGCAGCTACCCGAATCTTGCTGGCGCTGAAGGGACAAGCGACTTCTATTGCCAACACTAGAGGTAATTAAACCATCTCCTAGGGAAGTCACTTTCCAGACAAGCATTAACTGCCTCCTGAGACCTATTCTGAGGCACCATTTCATGGGCATGAGCTCCAGGCCCAGGAATAAACCTGCCAGTTCAAGTAAAGAGAGGCCAGAGGATGGATCACATGCAGAGGAATTAACCCTCTGATCATTTCTCTCCCCCCCCCTCACCCCACCCCAAGAACACAGCAGCAGCCTGTGCTGCGTGAGCTGTGCTCAGGGGAGACGGTCGTGGGGCTGCCCAGGTTTGCCTGTCTGTGGGAGTTGTTCAAGGGCATAAGAACGGCCGGACTGGGTCAGACCAAAGGTCCATCTAGCCCAGTGTCCTGTCTGCCCACAGTGGCCAATGCCAGGTGCCCCAGAGGGAGTGAACAGAACAGGGAATCAAGTGATCCATCCCCTGTCGCCCATTCCCAGCTTCTGGCAAACCTTGTGCTTCAGTCCCTGTGCTGTGTGCACAAGGCTGCTTCCTACAGCTCTGCCTCCTGACAGAAAAACAGGGGGGCTCCTACTCCTCCCCACTGTGGGACCAGCCAGGCCCTCAGCCCCACCACCATCCCTGACACTTTCTATCCAGTGCAGCATTAAACCAATTCTATTTAATACCCCACTAGGTCAGCGCTGCGGGAGGGCTGCAGGTTTGCAGGGTCCCCGTGCCAGAGGGCTATGGCAAGAGAGGTGTAGTGGCGTGGGCAGGGCTGCCAGGGAATTCACACAGTTGGCACTGGGGCGAGGGACCCCCCACCACCCACTCAGCAGCACTTTGGGAGAAACTGTTTATTTTTTGGAACCAAGCCAAATGCAGGGGCCATGAAAGGTGCCCGGGTCCCAGCCGCACCCCCAGCCACACGCAAGGCTGGCTCGCTGCCTCTCTATTTTGGTACCATTCTCTCCAGCCCATTGTTCCAGCCCTGCCAGGAAGAGTGACTTCCCAGCCTGGCCAGGAACCGAGGGAGTTATGCGAAGAATGTCCAGGCAGCGCAGAGTGGGTGGCACTCTGCCAGGCCTTGGTGAGGCACATCCCCGACGTCAGCACCATCTGATCCCAAACACCACACCCACGCCCCTCCCCGGAGCTGGGTCTCCCAGGCAACAGGGCTGGAATATCACTGTTTATTCTCAGCCCAGTGCCAGGAAATTAGGCCGCGCTCCTCCCTCCCCTTCCCTGCTGCCTGGGGGAGGGTGGGGAGGTAGCCGGGGAGGCCAGAGCAGGGGTGCTTACGGGTAGGCTGTGGGGAGAGGGGCCAATGATTTGCATGGGCAGGGCTGTTCCAAAGGCTCCCTGGGGGGAGATGGTGGGAGGCCAGACTGGGCCAGAGCTGGCAGCACTCGGCTAATTCTGGGGAGACTCCCAACGCCTCAGTGGCCGTGGAATAGGGGAGTTGTGCTGCCCAGGGAGAAGTGTGACCAGGAAGGGTGTCAGCTCCTGGGGCCTCAGCAGTGCTCCCCACAGGCCAGCAGGCTCCCTCGGAGGCAGCGTGACATGCGCGGAGCCCTCAGTTTGCCACATTGAGCTGCAGCTCCCAGAGAATAAGCTACAAGTGACCGGCAGCGGCCTGCAGTCAGGGTCATCACTGCCATGCCCTCAGCCAGCCCGGCAGAGCTCCTTGGGGGCCTGCCATTACCCATATCAGCTGCACCTGGGTGCCACTCAACTCCCCCTCTCTTGGGCTGCATTGGGCAGAGAGCACCAGGTTAGCAGCTGGGGGTAGTGCCAACTCCCCAATGACCAGTGATGGGGCTCCCAGGCACGTCCCCAGTAGAGCCCCTGAGAAGTGAGAGCACCCTGGGGCCTCACAGTGCAGAGGGAGGGTGGCTCCCCTGGCCTGTTCGTGCTAGAGGAAGGCCAAGGTTTGTTTCAATACCAGGTCCTGTCTACATGGCCCCTGAGCCTCCTTGGCCCCCAGCCCCTCATCTTCCTGCTGTAACCACCTGGGATTTCTTGGCCTCCCACAAGAACCCCTGATGCTTCCTCTCCCTCTGCTCAGGGGCCTCTTCCCTTTTGCCTCAGGACCCGGTGCCGTGCTGCAATCAGCCGGTGACTCGGGGAGTGCGGGAAGCCTTGTGAAGCTACCCGCTTCTTGGAACCTCCCCAGCCCCACAGCAGCAGTGACACGGACGACCAGTGGGCAAACCCCTGACAGAGATTTCACAAGCCTCTCGCCTCCCCCAGAAACGCCAAATGGACTTGACCCTGCATTACGTAAGGAGCTATTTCTGTGCGTCATGGACGGTCAGTTCCCCGCTGCCCCACTTCTGCGCCTGGGAGAAGGGCTGAGCTCACCAGCACAGTAATTTCCTGGACCAGGAAGACCTGCTCCACCACACATGGGGATTAGGTGGAGCAGGTCATTGTGATGAGCTCGAAGACCCCGCACTAAAGCAGGGCTAGGCACAGAGCAGCACTGGGCTAGGGAGGCCCCACCCCATAGGTGCTGGAGCTAGGGGAGCTGCCGCACCCCCAGCTTGAAGTGGTTCCATCCTATACAGGGTTCACAGTTCAGTTCAATGGCTCTCGGCTTCCCTCTGCGGCTGCAGGCAGCGGGATCGTTTAAAAGGACCCTGGTAGCCGGGGCAGGGGGATTTGGGGGATCTGCACCAGGAAGTGAGGCTGATGCCTGGAGCTGAGAGAGGAGGGGCTGCAGCGTTCTCACTGCAGCTACAGCTCCTACGCCGAGGGCAGGTCCTCCACCTCCCCGAGAGGCATAACTGTGTCAATGGGAGACGCCCTCCCATTAACCTAGCCCTGCCTACAGCGGGGTTAGGTCAGTGTAGCTGCATCGCTCAGGGAGGGGAAATCCACACCCTGTTATACGGCGTAGAGCAGGGCTAAGGCTACGCTGGCGCGGCCATGAACCAGGCTGCCCGCCCTCCCCCCGCCCAAAGCATGGGACGTTAGCCCACCGACGGACTGAACAGATCCTCCTGCGGCTGCATCTGTGACCACGCCCCTGACGGAGAAGCCACAGCCCACTGGGAAGCAACCGGGGGGGAGTAGAACATGGGTGGACCAGTGAGTGGTCACGGGAATTGTATCACCCCGCCAGGGCTCTAGGTCAGTCCCAATGGAGGGGGAGGGCTTGTGTCCATTTACCTCATCTGCCCATATCCCCATATGGCAGAACCCGAAGGGGAGTGGAAGAGACTCTCGGGCTGGGTTGAGGCCAGCTGCATATATCTCAGCCAGGGCCCCTCTAGAATAAACTGGCCAGAAAGATGGTGTCACCACTGCCTGACCATTAGCCCAGCTGGCTCTCAGACTGGCCGGCAGGCGCCACGCAGGGGCACCACATCGGGAAGGGGCAGGAGAGCAGTGGAGGATGGGAGCTGGGATTAGAACTCCGCACTTACCTGGTGCTTCACTAGCACCCTCCTGGTGAGGGTGAAGGAGGTGAAGTGAATCACGTGACACCCAGCCAGGCCTTGGCAGAGCCACCGTTAAACTAGCACTGGACTCCCAGGCTGCAGGGAGTCTGGGGACCGGGCCTACCCCCCAGTACCCTCACAGCCGAACTCCCGCTCTGCACCATTTTGACGTGAGCCCCATCGCACAGAGGGGAACAAAGGCCCTAAGTGACACAATTAGAAACCTAGGTATTGTCTGGCTGGAAAACCCCACCCGTCTGCCAAGTCTGGCACCTCGGCTGCCACAGCAGAGACGGTTCAGTGCTCCAGGGTCACCTACTCTCCCAGGAGAGGAACATTTCTTACCTCAGCGGCCAATAACTTCTCCCTGCTCCCCGTGTCCTGGGCAGCATTGGTTCCTGTGATACCCTGAGAAATGGCCAGCTCTTTCCCACGCAGTTCACCGAAAGCACCCGGGTACCCAACCGCCCCGAGGGGAAGGAACTAGCCTCCTCGCACCTGGCCGAGGGCGGGGAGCTCTGGAAAGCTCAGAGCATAACGAGCGGGGAGTGCGGCTCCCACTACAGGATTCCAGCAAATCGCAACAAACTCATGCGCTGCTTAACTGCACTCGAGGGCGACCCAAGCCGCACCATATCCGTAGCCTCTCTGGACGTCAGAGCCCCAAGGTCCTGAGGCAAGTTTCTCCTGGAGGGAAATGAAGGTAAAGGCCGGACTCCCCCACCCGCACCTCACTGACAGCTGGGCCAAGGCGTGTCCTGTGTGAGTGGGCGGAGCGCTGATTGGCAGCTGCCCAGCTGTGCTTGGGGGCTCGGCCTAGTCTCTCCTCCAGGTGACACTGGGCCACATTCGTCCCTGGTGGGCACATGGGCTTCAGGGGAGTTGTGCCAGGGATGAGTTTCATCCAGATCTTGCGGCACTCGGCACAGGGCCCGAAGTGTGGGGCAGGGGGGCAAAGCCCTTTAATTAATACCCTTTGGGCTTCTTCAGCACCTCTCGCCTATGGGGCTCACCGACACCTGCATCTCCGAGTGCCCAGGGGAGAGACGGAACCAACGTGGGCCAAGATGTTCAGTGACTGGTGATGGGGTGGGGTGGGGAGGTTGAGAAAGTGAGTGCTCAGCTCTTTCTGAAAAATCAGCTAGCTGAAGCCGGCACCCAGAATCCCTGGTCAGGTGTGAAAATCTTGGCCATACAGTATAAGAATTCTCTGGCCACTAAATGCAGCCACCTCTGGGGTGGA